TTGGAGAAAATAGAAGGTTATAATGTGTCTTATTATAATGGTAACTCTTTCACGTGAAAGAAATGTATATTGTGGATAAAATAAAGGGTTATAATGGATCTTCTGTAAGAACGTGAACTTCCCATGAGATCCCTATTTTATGGTGATTTTTTAATCCGAGGAATATTATTAATTTATTTACTGATTTTTTTATGTATAAAATAACCAAATGCTTTTCTGCACTCGACGATTTTTTGGCTAAGGAAGAGTAGGAGTTCAAAAATTTTCTGCTATAAAGCTGACAATATTATTTCGAACAGCAAATAAGAAATCGTATAATAACTAATACATAAAATTACTTGATTTCGATACCTTGCACACCGTTACATTGTCTTAAATTTGACATATTAATTAATATCAATCTTTGAAATTTTATCAAATGGTGTCTGAAGGGCTTTTTTCGAGTGCAAAGAGTTAATATTCGCAATTTTATATATATTTAATTTGAAACTTAAATTGTGTTTGTTTTCTGAAACCATGAAGATGTATCTTCGTGAAAATAGAAAATTGAATTTGAAGAATTATATTCGATTCTCCAATTACTTTTTTCTATAACGAGCTTTCCTTTTCATTTTCACAAACGGTATCGCAGTTTCTCTCACAGAAAATCTCATTACCTTTGATACTAATTTAATATTAACTCAATTTTTTAACAGTAGACTTTCATCTTGGACAAATTCGAATCTCCAGTCCAAGGAGGTATTTAAATCGCTTAATTTTCTGGATTCTGGCCAGGGTTCAATAGCTTGGTAGATTTTACTCTTGTACCTGTCAATATGTTACATGCAGTTAGTTTGCAATTACTTTGCGAAAAAGTAACGTGTCAAGAGCGTGTGAACAAATTTGTAAGTCGTTATAGACTATAGGCTTTCGATAATAGTGTTCTGTTCTGTTACAAATATGGACACCACAGCTACGCCTATGCTTTTATCTCTCAAATATATCGGCACTAACCTTTCAGAAAACAGCTTTTCAACGAACCGTACCAAGTGAGTACTTACTAAGTAGTTCGATCTCTTATCGATCGAATCTGGCCTGGTTCTCTAAGAACGTAACGAAAGAAAATTCTGAAAATCCTGTCCGACCTGCTTTCTGGCCGAGTCACGTAATCACGAAGAATTTCGAAAATTCGTAATATTCAAAAAATTAGAGAAATTCGGAAAATTCTTTATATTCGGAAATTAAAAATACTCACAAAATTCGGGACATCTGAGAAATTTAGGAAATTCGTAAACTTCTAAAAATTCCAAATATTTACAAAAATTAAGGAAATTTAAAATATTTGGAAAACGCACGAAATTCCGGAAATCCTGGAAATTCGAGATCCAAAGAATCCTCAAAATTCAGGAAAATTCTTAATTCCCCAAAAATTCGTAGAACCGTGGAAAATAATTACAAAGAGGAACGTGTCGGGAGAAAATTCCGCAAGAATTTCGAAAATTCGTAGTATTCAAAAAATTAGAGAAATTCTGAAAATTCTTTATATTCAAAAATTATAAATACTCACAAAATTCAGGACATTTGAGAAATTTATAAAATTCACAAACTTCTGATAATTCCAAATATTTACAAAATTTAAGGAAATTTTAAATATTTGGAAAACGCACAGAATTCCGGAAATCCTGAAAATTCGAAGTTCGAAAAATCCTTAAAATTCGGGAAAATTCCTAATGCCCCAAAAATTCGTCGAACCGTGGAAAATAATTCCGAGGATTAATGTCAAGAGAAAATTCCGAAAATTCTGGCACGCGGGACAAGCGCGAATTACGCGTTCTAGGCGGAATCGCGAGAGTTGCAGCACCGGTGCACTTTCTCCGTAGTAAAAGTAAAAGTTTCGCCGGGAGACCACGTCGAGACACGGTGCACAGGCAATGCGTTTAACCGAGCAAAATGGTGGGGAGAATCGTAGCTTTCTATTATTGCAAGATCGTCAACCTTATCCGCACAGCTTTTCATTACTCCGGAATCTCTCTCTCTCTCTCCCCTATCTCGCTCTCTCTCCCTGTCTCGATTATGCTAAAATCGGCATCGTTCAGCAAGGCTGGCATTACTGGGACCAGTTCGACCAGCCGGTACGATGCAACCTGATCATCCTTCGACGTGGCAGTTCCAGAGCATTTTCAAGGAAATCGTAACTCGAAGACACCGTCTCCTCCTGGACACGACCATCTTGTCTATGGTGTTCGAAATGCGATAATAATTGTTAGAAATGTTAATCAAAATTCGTAATAATTATTAGAAAAATTATTATGCTTCTTCGACCCATGGTATTCGAAATGCTATAATAATTGTTAGAAATGTTAATCAAAATTCGTAATAATTATTAGAAAAATTATTATGATTCTTCGACCCATGGTATTCGAAATGCTATAATAATTGTTAGAAATGTTAATCAAAATTCGTCATAATTATTAGAAAAATTATTATGCTTCTTCGACCTATGGTAATCGAAATACGATAATAATTGTTAGAAATGTTAATCAAAATTCGTAATAATTATTAGAAAAATTATTATACTTCTTCAACCCCTTAGAAAGCAATGGTACATAATCTGTAATCAAGTATTTGGTTCAGCGAAATTACTATGCAAATAAATATAAGATACGTATTATTTTCACAGATACAATGTTGGATTAGTTAGATTGAAATTGCATTTCGGGAAATTCTGAATCTGATCCCGTTTATTAGAATTTATAAGTCAAAAATGTGCATTCGAAGGAGTTAGTCACTTAGGAAAAATCGTTTAGAAATAATTCACCTCATTTTACAATTAAATAGCCTCGAATTTCCAAAATTATCTTTACGATAAGACTGACCAATCAGTGTGAACGATTTATTGTACATATATTCATGTATGAAAAAATGTCTCGTCACAAAATTACAGATATGGAAATACCTACTATATCATCATATTCTCCTTATACTAATTGGCAAATTTGGTCAAAAAATTCTGCGAAAACCGACGAATTTTCGTTTCAAAAAATTTTCGGAATTTGACATCATTTTCCTGACATACAATCTACTTCCAGGTTGTGGTGTGAGTAGTAGAATAATAGTGGGGGTCTCGAGTATGTATTAGTGGAATATCAGTGTGGGGTCTCGAGAGACCCCGTTACAGTTCCCCGAGGAACCGTGCTCCGAGACACTTAAAATGAAACGAAAGAAAAGAAAATGAACAAAATTGCAAATCCCTAAATTCCAATATTTCAAAGCTTACCCATATCCTCTGAAATCAGTGTCTAGTGACATCCAGGTTTACCAACTGACCATTTTACTCACCAGACGTAGCGTTTAATCCGTCAACGAAAAATTCTAGTCCGATAATAGCTTTCTTCACCTGGCTTCGTCGTGGAACGGAACGAATTTATGGAAAGGTGAGAAGGAAACGATCGAATAGGTCGATCTGTTACCTTAAATCCCTTATTTTAAACATCCGTTTGGGAAATGCAACGATCGTTGGACCGGGACATCGAGATTTCGCGTGATCGCCGATGCAAAAGGGCCATAGCATTCGCTATGAAGGCGAAAATGCGATTTTCGCGTACCTACTCGAGGATTCTAAGCATCGTGTGAAACGATCGATCAGTATTCCAAAAGAGAACTGCGACGAGGAGTTCCCGGAAAGCAGGCAGACAAAGGAGCACGCGTCCCGGACCCGGTAGCGCAGGTCAGTTCTATTTATGAACGAATTCTTGCGTTTTCCGTGAAACTGCTCTCGAAGGATTCGCGAAATCGTTCTTGTCAGACTCCTCTCTGAAAATTTTTAGGATCGACACAGCGAATTTTCGGTAACTCTGATTGGAAAGCAGGATCGTGCAAATGGCACCTTTTGCGACCGAGTATTACCATTTTCGATGTCGATGTCATAGAAGTCGTTGAACTTACTATTAATATATTTGCGAATATTTCTAGCTAATTTTTGTGGATATTTATGAAGATTTTTAGATTCGTTAGAATTTTATATCAACGTTCTGATTGTAGGTTAGGATTATTTAATTTAGAATTTAATTTTTGGATAATTTATTTTTATATTTGGTCAGAGTCGGATGTTAGAATAGTAAAGACGACTGGTTCGATATTTTTTGACACGTCATTTTTATACTTGGTCAGTGTTGGACGCTGAAATAGTATTTTTTGATAGGTTTTAATTTTGGTAGCTATTGGAAATATTTTTGGTTAGTTTCGGTCAAATTAACATTGGTGTGTATTGAGATGAATTTGTAATTACGTATACCTGTTCATTTTTATTATACTATTATATCACGTACTCGTTTATGTACGCTATGTTTAGGTTCACATTGTCAGTAATTCTAGCGTAGATATGTTAAATTTTGCACCTAGAATATTAAATGCAGTGGCTGATCGACATTACGTTATTTGGAATGATCGAAGGACGACCGGTGATCGGTGGAATATTTGAAGAATTTCGCGTGTAGCGCGGCATGCGCGATAAAATATAGAAATTTTGGAGGTCAGTACGCAGAAACAATAAAAAAAAATGTTTATATACACGTTTGTCCTAGCTGACCTTGTTTACGCGTTACAGCTGATTTTGTGTTTTACCAGTTGTTCGTCTGTCTTCGACGGAAAGTGCTACCAAAAAATGTTCGACACATACGAAACGATGCATAGAATATAACGAAAATACTCACTGTGATCGAAGCACTTAAGTATTCGAGCGAAGAACGCTTGTAAATTAAAAAAGAAATTTGATAAAAATTATTGCGTTAATTTTTTTTCTAAATCATTTTACTAGGTTAGTATTAATATAAACATAAATATATTTAGTAGGAATATTGGTGCGTAAAGTAGGTGATATTTAGAATAATTTATTATCTTTCTTTTCTTTTTCTCCTTTTTTTTCTTTTTTTAGTTGTCAGAAGCATAATTTTTAGAGTACGTTTTATACATTGAGGAAAAGCTTCGGTGTCGCAAGTAGAACGAAAAAGTTTCAGCACAAGGTTTCCGTAGTGTAGTGGTTATCACGTTTGCATCACACGCACAAGGTCCCCGGTTCGATCCCGGGCGGAAACAGTTCCGTTTTTTTTTTCATTCATTGATAGTGAAAGAAATCGAATGAAAGGTTATTTCTAATTGAATAAGTCTTTATACGTTGTTGTTAAATATATTTAGGATTAAAATTCTATTTTAAACAATTCTTTTGCTTCTTATATTCTTTTATAAGTTATTATTAGTTACCGGCTACGAACTATAACACATTTAATTAAATTTGTAAAAAAAGCAGGAAATATTCACTGTAATTTTTGCTTTTTTTCCTCTCCAATTTATTTCTTGATGTCAGGAAAATAAATTTCTAATTCTATTTAGTACGTCGATACAAAGCGAGCTATTTCTCTAGTAAAATGAGAAAGACTGATACCAAGGTTTCCGTAGTGTAGTGGTTATCACGTTTGCCTCACACGCACAAGGTCCCCGGTTCGATCCCGGGCGGAAACAGTAGTGGTCATTTTTTTTTTTTTCATTCAATAATCAAAAGGATAAAATGCAATAAATATAAAAGCAATTTTAAACGAAACTATATTGGTAAAAATTTATCGAATCTATTTTAAAATAAAATAATAATCATATTTTGTAGAAATGTTTTTTCCCCCATTTATACAAATAAAATATATTTATCGTAGTATACGTATGTATATTTTAACAAGTATATTAGCTTGTAAGATAATGAATAATTATTTTAAATCTTCCTCCCTTAATTCTTCCTATTGTTTAATTTATTAAAAACATTATTTTCTCATTTATTTATTAAATGGAGGTAAGACTGGTACCATTTCAGTTAGAAAGATAGAAGTTGTGTACAACGTTTCCGTAGTGTAGTGGTTATCACGTTTGCTTCACACGCATAAGGTCCCCGGTTCGATCCCGGGCGGAAACAGTGGTTGGTTTTTTTTTATTTACCAATGATCGAATAAACAAAATTACAAATCACGCAAATATAAATATCCAAATTTGCAATATAAATATAAAACACATGGAAAAAATTCAAACGCCCATAAATAAATTACTACCTTCCAGTTTTACGAAGCTAATCAATTCAACAAATGACAATATGCACCTCTTTCGGCTCCAAAATATAATTCTTTACACCCTTTACATTCGTTCGACGTTAATTAAATTCGTGACAAAATTCCTTCCAAAACAAAGCCAAACATATAAGCACACAAAACTGTGGGAATCGATCAAAGGGTTCCCATCAAAAAACGACCCCTATCAATTTCATTCCTCTCCCAAGAAGAGAGGAAACAAGTACTCAAATATTGCCAATATATTTGCGCAGTGACTTAGAATCAGTCGAATTTTTCGGCTCGCGGTTCGACGACCAGCAACGATGTTCAATTCACCGCTTCACTCGCGGTTCGTCGACCTGCGACAATTTTCCACGGCCCCGCGTACGCAGCGGATCCGCTGAAAACCGAAAGCAAAGCAAGCCACGAGGGTGAAGAAATGGAGTGCACACTCTGCTCCGGGTGCCATTCGTCCCAGCGAGGGAACGTTTGCGCGAGGCAAAAAGGAAGGCGGGAGACGTTGGACACCTGTTGGAAAGATTGCTGGTGGACGATGTGGCCGAAACGGCGAAATTCCATTTGCAAAATTGCGCGTAGGGCATGGAGGTGATTGCCGGCGAGGAGGACAGTTCTTTGTGCTACGAGCGGAGGATGCGTGCGTGGTATGGGGCCGGTGGAGTCAGGCTATGGCAAAACGGGCTGTCTCAAGGTCGGTTAGGCACAAGGGCAGCTTCAGTCTAGCCTGAACTCGACCGCGCCCTTCGAGGTCGTGCCATCTCGTTCCCACACGGCCGCTATTCCTTTTTTTCTCTCTCTTTTCCCTTTTTAATTTCGTCCTCCTCGCTCTACGAGTGCCTTTATTAATTGCCTGTTAACTGTCGTTGTTCTCTTCGGCGCTGGCCGCTGCCTCAATTGAAATCGGGTCGTGCATCGCTTGCATCTGCAACCCTTTGTCTCGCGGACAGACCTCGCAGACCAACTCGCTCATTTTTCTCGCTTCCTTTTTCCGATAAATTCGCGATTCGCAGGACGCGGAGGGTCTGCAAGAGTAACGATTTCTTAATTATTTTTATCCTTTCCAGAAGGTTCTATCGGATAATATATCGATCATTTCGAAGTATATGTAATTCCAGTTAGGAATATTGAATATTTAGAACAAAAGGGAAATAGGTCTAGTACGCTTTAATTAATATTATTCATTAGAAATAATAATTTAATAGAGTGTTTATTTGAAATATTTCTAGATGCAGTTTTAGAGTGGGGGAATTGTTTAGATTATTGATTTATATTAGTTTGTACGAAAATGTTTATGCGAATGAAGTAGTATGAATTATCCTAGCCACTGCTATTTAATAATTTCACTGTTCTGTTATATATACTTCGTTCGTCATATAATTTATAAGTTCTTTTACTTTTAAGAGTAGCAAAGGGTCCTTCTATTATTTGTTTGCCGTCTCCTGTTTATTATTTACCATTTCTACAATTATTTAATATATTAAAATTTTCCAAATTTGGGCAAATTAAAATTAAATCGATCGATTTATCATTTATTATTTCTATAATTATTCACTAGAACCAGAAGCTTTCTAAAAGTTCCATTATCATCGATCATTTCTGCAATTATTTAGTGTATTAAAATTTTCCAAATTTGGGTAAATTAAAATTAAATTGATCGATTTGTCATTTACTATTTCTATAATTATTTACTAAAACCAGAAGCTTCCTAAAAGTCCAATTATCATTTACCTTTTCTACAATTATTTATCCTATTACAATTTTCCAAATTTGGATAAATTAAAATTAAATCGATCTATTTATCATTTACTATAACGAGAAGCTTTCAAAGAGTCTCATTATCACTTACCATTTCGAATTTTCCCAAATATTTACTGAAACAAATAGTTTCGAAATTTGAAAGTCTGAAAAATAGATCGACCAATCTATCAAAATCTCATCGTCATTTATCATTTTTTTAATTATTCGCTAATACCAGAAGCTTCCAGAGAGTCTCATTGTCATTTTCCATTAACCATTTGCCGTTTCCAAGCGTTATTATTAACCGGAAAAAAATTGTTCCAGGTTTGGAGAAGAACTGGCAGTGGATCCAGTGAGTCCGTCGTAGATCCACGAGCACGCTGACGAAGATTCCAATGGCGGCGGATGACGAGAACCGATGGATCGCGACCTCCGCGTGAACGTTATTCGCAAACTGAAAATAGCCAGCTCTCGAAGCAATCTCGTTTCTTTAATCGACAGGACCTTGATCCGTTCGTCGTTCCCTATCGCGTGCCGGACGATTATGAAGCGATTCCAAGCTCTTGGGGGGTATACACCCGTGGGCTTATCTGGCCTGGCCGACGGGCAATTAATTGAACGACAATGGTCGCCCAGCTTCTCGCACTAATTAAGTTTGACCTCTGGGATCGGTGGCACACGGTCTCTCGCAAGGTCACTGGGTCATCCCTCTTTCGCCACGATTTTTAGCTTAAACGTTCTCTGTCTCGATCCTGCGAGATGTACAGCGAGAGCAATAGATATCGCGACTTTGATAGACCAGGGGTATCCTTTATCGTCGTTGAACAGCGTTACGTTAAAATTACCATATTCCAATATCTGGAATCTAGTTATTTCGAGTCTCACACGGTACACGTACAGTTGATGAAATAGATACAGTCTTCGATTCCAATCTCCAGTCCGAGAATTTTTTAATTCAGGAAATTAATAATTTCCTACAAACTTTTACCCTGAAAGATATCCTGAAATTAAAAATTTCGTTTCCAGAAGAAAAAAATATTCACGAATTTTATATAAAGGGCCCACAGTCTTTTCTTTCGTTTTCAATGGTGGAAACGAAACAAAGTGACAAATCGCAGATTGATAATCTCGACTCGAATTTCAAATCTATAATCGATGTCGACCGAAGCAATGTCACACATCGATTGGAAAAATTGGAAAAATTTTAAAAATTGGAAAAATTGGGAAAATTGGAAAAATTAGAAAAATTGGAAAAAATGGAAAAATTCCAGAAACGGATTATTCTCCGATCTGCCGATGACACAAAGGACACCGTCTTTCACATGAAGCCATGTTTTTAGTTTCGAAAGCAGCGGTCACCCACGGAATTATTATCGTCGTTCGAGCAAAGAGCGGAAACTTCCTAGAACGACCAGAAGACGGTAATTCACGAGGAAGAATTACCGTATTGGTAAGAGAGAGAGATAGAGAGAGAAAGAGAGAGTGCAAGAGAGTACGTGAAAAGCATCGTCGATTAAACGCGGCGCTTTATCGGCTTTCCCGATCTCTCGCCTCGTGACCGCGTAAATCGGCTGGTCTCGAGTGCCGACCCTTCCATGGCTACCACCAAGGTCACGACCTCCACTTCGTGCAGAGAGCGATGCACGCACTATTAGGCACACGCCACGCGCGTGCATGTTGCGTACGTGCAGCCTAATCTGCGGGATGCATCGCCTCGCCAGGGCTGGCTCGTGGTCACCACGTGCCACCATCGTGATGCACCGGGCGCAGCTGGGGTGCGTGTCTTCCATGTGGAAATTTCGATCGGTCGAGATCGATTTAACGCTAGCTGCAACTATCTGACTCCTCGAAATGATAGGTTTCTCTCATTTTCCTTTCTTCAAATTTCTGCAAATACACTTTAGTAGAATTTGGTAGAATAGGTGTCTTTAGTAGAATCTCTGGTAACCTTTATTGAGACAGCTGTACCATCATGTACCTACGCTTCTTTATTTTTCCTGGGATTAACATCTTTATGTCGTACTTGAACGCGGGAAATTGACAAATTTTTTTATTTTCATACCAATCACGAGGAAATATCAAAAAATTTATTGTAACTGTGTTGAAAGAAAAATTGCGAAGACTAGTGATCAAAGTAGCTACTTAGAATGCGAAGTTTTTAATTAAAAATTTAAGAAGGAGCACTGGGCCCTGATAGGTTTGGTGTTAGTTAGTCACCGTGTATAATACTTATTTCGTTCGAAGGAAAATTAT